TCATTTTATCACTAATGATCTGTCACAAAAATGAGCACCGGTGCATCAAGAACAGGAGGAAAATGAGCAAATTATCATTGATGAGCCTATGGCGATAGTTTCAGACAATAGATTTCAACCAGAAACGTCTACTAGGAGATCGCATCGTGTTAGTAGGGCTCTTAAAAGGTTTGGTGTATGGGCAAATTCATCCATTCTAGAAGATTGTGACTTTGATGTCGAAGATAGTGATGGTATGGCGTTGATTTTGAAAGAAGATGAACCTTCTTTATAAAGGGAAGCTCAAACTTCGGTCAACAAGCTTGAGTGGAATGTTGCTATGGAGCGGGAGATGGAATCCCTGATTGACAATAAGACTTGGGAGCTGGTTGAGCCTCCTACAAATCAAACGCATATTGACTTCAAGTGGGTGTACAAGTTGAAAGACAATCAAGGAGGAGACGAGGCAAGAATCTTCAAAGCTAGGCTGGTGGTTAGAGGTTTCACCAATGAGAAGGGCGTGGACTACAATGAAGTTTTCTCACCGGTTACTAAGTATGCTATAATTCGTTTGGTATGTGCATTGGTTGTGATATTTGATCTTGTTATGGATCCGATGGATGTGATTACAGCTGTTCTCTATGGATATTTAGAGGAGGTGATCTACATGAGACAACCTGTTGGTTTTGAGGTCAAAGGCAAAGAGAGGTTGGTTTGTAGATTGTTGAAATCATTGTATGGATTAAAGCAAGCTCCTAAGCAGTGGAACACGCGATTTGATGAGTTCATGAAGGCACAAGGTTTTTTACGCAACGTGTATCATCCTTGTGTCTACATGAAGAAGGTAAATGATGAGACGTTCAATCTCATCATTTTAGTACTCTACGTTGACGACATGCTCATATTGGCGAAAATCCAATCCGATGTTGATGAATGCAAGAGTAAGTTGAAGTCTGCATTTAAGATGAAGGATATGAGGAAGTCGAAGAGAATACTAGGCATGGAGATCCATAGGAATCATGAACAGAAGAGACTTTGGTTGAGTCAAGGCAAGTATGTCCGTCGTATACTTGACAGGTTCAACATGATCGATTCAAACTCTTTACAGCTCAATGTCTTACCGATGCTGTGGAGAAAGTAAATATGTCATGTGTTCCCTATGATCAAGCCGTAGGCAGCCTCATCTATTTGATGGTGTGCACTAGGCCAGACATTGCTTTTGCGATGGGCAAGATGAGCAGGTACATGTCAAATCCAGGGAAAATTCATTGGGACAGTGAAATAGATTATGAGATATTTGAAGAGTACTTTGGATTATGGCTTACTGTTTGATGGTCTATTAGACAATGTCAAATCCTTTTTTTGTTACGTTGATGCTGACTACGGACAGGATCTAGATAAAAAGAGACCTACAACTGGATATGTGTTTGCACTTGGCGGTGGAAGCATCAGTTAGAGATCTACCTTGCAGAAATGCGTAGCTCAATCAACAACGAAAGCTGAATATGTGGCAGTAGCAGAAGCAGCAAAGGAAGCTATTTGGTTGGATAGGCTTATCATGAAAATGGGATTGAAGCAGGGCGTGATTAATCTTCATTGTGATAGCGAGAGCGCTTTACATCTGGCTGCGAACCAGTTCATGGATAGCATAGTGAAGCACATCGACATCAGGTATCATTTCATCAAACAAGCAGTGTTTGAGAAAACGATAAAGCTAGTCAAGATCGACGGTAAACTTAATCCAGCAGACCCTTTGATCAAAGTTATTCCATTGGAGAGTTTCAGGCGACACTGTGCTACCATGCAGGTTGTGCATGGGGAGCACATGTAGAATTCGCATGCATGGTAACTTTAGTAATCTCTTTATATATTTACTCTATCCTATGATGGTTACGGCTTAGTTCTAGTTAACTTTTGTGTAAAGAGGGAGCTTGTATTAAGTTTCTGTCTAGAACTTCTCGCGGAGTAATTATATAGACTACGAGATCTCTGATACCTCTATGCAAGCATGTTTTCTATTCACCTCTTTGTGTTATTACTTTATCTAGTTATGGCTACGGTCTAGTTCTTGTTAACTCTTGTATAAAGAGGGACCTTGTGTTAGGTTTCTGTCTAGAACTTCCCGCTGAGTAATAATATAGGTTTTAGAGGTTACTGTTTCCTTAACACGAGTTAAGGGGAAGATTGTTGAGGTTAACTCCGGTTAAGGAGTAACCTCATGTTATAGCTATTTATAGCTAGGTGTGTCGCTAGCTTTGGGTATAAATATACCCCCAAGGCCAAGGCTTCTTCCTGGAGTAGCATTGTGTATTCACCTTCTGAGTAAACTCTCTCGCGTGTTTGAGCCGTGAACGTAGCCCTTGAGGGTGAACCACGTTATATGAGTGTCCAGTGTGATTCTCGTGTGATTCGTACTTGGCTTTAGGTTTTACGTTAAGAAGATTTAGGGTTCACTATAAAGGAGAGCCATCAAAATCTCTACTTGAACATTTTTAGATTGACATTCAATAAAACGTTATGGTTTTCGTGCATGTGGTATAACAATGGCGAACCACGTAATTTTGTTTTGACATCTTGTGTGCTTGTGCTTTTTTGAATCAACAATTTTTGTGTTTGTAAACTTTTTGTAAAAAATTTAAAATTTCAAGGATAATTTTAGTAGCAATCAAAAAACAAAACATAACAAAAATGCTAAAAAAGTATATGATGAAAAATGTTAGAGCTATCATATACTTTGTGAGTAAAAAAGATAAGTTTTTATAATACTTTACAAAATATGCATGTGTATATGGTATCCTTTCATTCACAAATTTGGAAATTTTTGATATGATGATTTCATCAAATATTATTATGAAAGTTTCATCATGAAGAAATATACGGAATAAAAGTAGATCAAGAAAATTTAAGAAAACAAAATAGCTAAAGTAAACAACATAATTAAGAAAAATTATTCCAAATAAATTTTATGACTTGGTATATAAAACAAGCCATAGATGTAATATATTTATGTCTTGATATGAATAGCAAGCCATAAATTTATATGCAATACATATTTAATATTACATCTGGTTCAAATTTATTTTTTTTGGGATCTAAACAAAAATCCCAACACTAAACACAAGTAGTGAATGCATGTCATATATTTCTATATGGATAAAATATATACAAGTGATCAAAGTTTACTCTTTGAAATCTTGATATAACCATCTTGAGTCAGTTTGAAAGTAAATTGCAAGAAAATCGAGATACAGACAGAGCGGACATATAATGGATTATATATATTTGCCACGTTAACAATCTATCAGGTTAGTAAGTGTGATAGTTTAAAGTGACACGTCATATATATCTTAATTTTTGCCATGTTAACAATCTATCAGGTTAGTAAGTATGCTAGTTTAAAGCGACGCGTCATATATATCTTAATTTTTGCCATGTTAACAATCTATCAGGTTAGTAAGTATGCTAGTTTAAAGCGACGCGTCATATATATCTTAATTTTTGCCATGTTAACAATCTATCAGGTTAGTAAGTATGCTAGTTTAAAGCGACACGTTAAAGATAGCTGTGCTTGTTGGATATGTCCGTCATCAATTCACTAAAAGTTGAATGAATGATGAGTATGAGAACTTAATTTCTTCTATTTGTTGGAAAACATTATAGTACTATCTTATATTCAAAGTTTGTGTTTCATGTTCAAGTTAGATTCTGTTTTGAAATCCCGGATTACATTTGATTTTCAAACTCTAAGATGAAGTATATTAACAAGTATTATTTTTAGTTTCAAATATTGGTTTGTAAGAATTAAAATATCGTGAATCAAGATACATGGTTTTGAAATTAGGTACATGTTTCAATATGATATCTTTTTTCTTGAAAGTGCGTAGTAATTATCATAACCTCTCTTGAATAGGAAGATTTTTCTTAAAGGCTTATTATAATTAATAAATATAGTCATTTAAAACTTTTAAATCTGATCAAAACATACAAAGAATCGTATTAATTGGAACTTTAGAAACATCATTCTAACATTGGGTCAAAATCTTCACATCCAAATTACATCATTGGAGTGTTAGCAAGATGCAATTTAGATCTGAATTTTAAGTATAATATGAACAATATTCAATACATATGATCAGGTATATGAGGTTCACATTGATTGCTTTATAAACCGTCCTTAAAAACCCCGTTCATGTTTGAGCATGATGGATACTTTATAAACCGTCCTTAAAAACCCCGTTCATGTTTGAGCATGATGGATACTGCCCTGTGATAATCCGCAGTTAAAAGCCGAGTACTCTACCACTGAGTTAGCAACCCTGAATTAATTTTGAAAAAAGATAAAAAAATGAAAAACATCAACACAATAATTTGTATGTGAATTAGTTTTGTCAATTCTACTTTAATTAGATTCAAGCTAAAAACTTTACTTTATTTTTTGATTTATTATTTTTTTAAAATGGAAAAATATTTGGAACTATTTATTTTGGAAGGAAAAAAACTAAATAAATATATAAAAAAACAAGGCTACGGCAGGAGCCGAGGCCCCAGGGAGAAATTCTTTTTCTGACAGGAAAAAAAATTTAATAATGGGAATGATTCAAAAGAAATTTTAGTTTAGAATTTAAGCAGATAGAGTTTACAAACTTTTATATTTATCTGCCATTTCAGTAACTTCTTATGTACCATTCGACTCCTCTCAAGATCCCTGCGTGAGGAGACAATTATCATAATCTTTTGTCTGAAATTTGGTCTTTGTTCCCAACAGACTGAAGCATGCTTCAAATGATAATTTCACTGAACACATGCTCAATAAATATATTTTTGGAAGACGAATGCAATAAACTTGAAAACGAAACATGTAAAACTAGCATACAATTATATGCACATACACCGCACAGTGAGCATGAAATTACACTATTGGATATAACTTGCAAAAAAAAGTTCAAACAACTGCGTATATGTATTTGCTCAGATGAAACTTATTTGAAAAAAGATATGAAAAAATTACAGTAGTTGAACAGAAGATTTCTGACCGCAATTGATGACATCCATTAGATGTCGTAGAATTTGTTGAACGATGAAGAATGCAGCTTGGTCTTATTTGGAGCCTGTGCTTCCCAGGGGATTACACTTCAACTCTTAGATTCACCATTGCTTGTTACCATGTACTGGTTTAAAAACCGCCATTATGTCACAAGTATCGATGGTTGTCTTCTTGATGAAGCAATTTGTGACTGTACATCTGCAGAGTTCAACAAGTCAGTAATCCATCGTCGTCTCTCTAGTCAAAATAAGTTAATCTGAAACCCAATATTGTTATCAGGAACGAAACAGGTTCAAGTGCATCGCTCGTCACTGCAATCTCTTCCGCGGTAGCTTCTTTTCACTACCTCGACGAACAGTACGTGAACAGGAGAGAACTAATACAGATTCCTACAGCATCTTGTACATCTGCAACCACTCTGTCAGCTGAGCAAAACCCATTGCATTATGAAGCTTTGATGTCCATTCGGGTTTCCACACCTTGCCTGTCGATTGATTATTCAGCAAAGAATGCAGGAAGGAGGAAAGAAAGTGCTCCCTGTCAAGTGATGGATCCAGTCTTCACAAGCAACTGCTAAAACATGTCCGAAAGTGGCAACTTGAACATCAAGTGAACTCAAAAAGCCGAGGTGAGATCACAACGTTTTTTTACCTCAGGTCCAGGTATTATCAAATGTCCTTAATGTTGTCGTCAATGTAGTGCCTACTCAGTAGATACCATCTCCGAAAGAAAAGAACTTGTGTGAGTCATTTGGTGTACTAGACAAACAAAAAGACGAGATTAACTCTCTAGCGCAGCCACCCAGGTTATGTGGTATTTCTGTCACTGAAGAGACCTACCACTTAAAATGTCAATTCCGTGTGACATATCTAGTCTCATTGGGACAAAGGCAGCGCTTGGATTTCAAACGCCGAAATGAATGAAGTATATCCAAGGATCCTGTGTCGTTTCACCTAAGGCTCTCAACTTCTTGATTGTGGGGCGACAATACCGACTTGAGCAATCTTACTGATAATGCAATCAACAACCTGTAATGAAGATTCTTCAAATACGACGCTTGCATGCTTGATCAAGTGCAAACAGTTTGCAATTAATGTGTTGGTAACATCAATGCAAAAACACCACAGATGCTACTGTAACAGTTCAGGTATCGCCTGAATCCGTGACTCAACTATTTGATAAGCAAAAATTCAGCCACCTTAAGAGTGCAATAGCTTTTAACTCCAAAGGAGAACCCCATCAACAACTTATGTACCTGACTATGAATAATCATCCTATTAAAGGCCTCACTAGCTGGGTATATGAACACATTCTGACACATGCTCCTCATATGAAACCCTTACATCCAACTTGGAGCGCCTTTGCTCCCAAGCTTGTCATTTTTGCCTCTCAGCTAGCAGGGCTTGAGCGTTTCAAGGAGTGGACTCAAAAATACTGATCCACTGTATATTGGACTCTGGAGTGTATCATGACATTGTGACCACCAGAATGGCTTCATCAAGGTCAATGAGACATGGGAGATACGTATCTGGTGATGACATGTTCGTAAATATGTCATCCCTCTTTCTTAGGGAGTTCTAGAACTCGAACAACCTCCCAAGGCATCCCTCTTTCTTAGGGAGTTCTAGAACTCGAACAACCTCCCAAGGCACGGACAGACTTTGGCAAACAATCTCCTAAAATCTGACTTGATCCCTGCCTCCACCTACCAGTTCCGGTTCCAAACATATCCAAGTAAAATAATTTACAGAACACTTCAACTGTTGCCACTGTGATTCGACCGGTTTCAGTGGCATAGGTCTTCAGTGCAGTTGGCATCACTTTTGATGCGTGTAAGTCAATGTAATGGTCACTGGATAATCTTGGAAATGCTGACGTTATACCACAGGAACAGCTCATGGCCCTCTCCTAGTTGAAGGCATCTGAATGATGGCGGGACGTGATGCAGCGCAAGAGAGGTGAATGACTGTCGCGTTGTCCAAAACATGGATACCGTCTAGCTAACTTACAATACCCGCTTTGGAGTGAGAACGAACGTAATTTTCAACCACTCCACGTGGGTGTACCTAGCATGGCAGATCAAGGGCACGTTTTGTGGATGGAATGTCCTTCAAGCATCCTGGTCCTCCCCTTCGTGGTGACGAAACCGGGAAATGAGTTCATCCAGTCAAGACTTTGCAAACTCTATTTTCGGTGAGGTGTTATATCTCGAGCAACTTGAACCTGCCACCTGCATGTCAGACCAGAATAAAAATGTTATTACGGATCTACTTCAATATTCCTAGATGAACTATTGGTATCTTTGGATTCGTGACCAATCAGCTGGCATTAAGTCGCGACTGAACGCAAATCATCAGGAACACGACAAAAAACCGAAGATTCGTTTGACATGATGTCCATGCATACATACCTGGAAAGCAGAAATGCGGCGACAGGACTTAGCCCTGAATTTTCAGCCGCGTCTGGATTTGCACGATTTCGTCCAAATCCAGACTTACCAAATCCGAATTGACCACCCACTGCTGCTTCTTCTTGAGATTGAGCTTTCTCCTCAGTCGGAATGATGAGGACTTTACGAGCCAGGTCTTGGAGGCCTTTCAAAGCTGCCTCATCGGTGCTGAGGACAAACAAAGGGATAGCATTCAGCATTGGGCAAGCTTCATATACACTTATGCTACACGTTGTTCATAAAGATGTCACACCTTGCTTGAACTCGAAATACTAAGCATAATGCCGATCCCGCTGTCAATGCCATAATTACTACGACTAGTTAGTGAATACGCAAACTAGTCGAGTACGAGTAAAGCTACACACCTTCCTAGCCGCTGGAGGAGTCTTCTTAGTAGGACTTCACATGCACCTGGCGCCAAGCGCTCCAGATCCATCAAAGAATCTGCAGCGTCTGCGGCCGCACGAAGAGCGGGGCCTTCAGACTGCTCTGCAGCTGTCTGCCAATTACCATTGACACTCCATCAGTAACTGTGTAACGGTTCAGGTATTCCACTTGTAATCTAACCCGTGAGCGCAATGAAACATTTGAATACGCACCTCTTTCAGTGCAGGAATCAGCAGCAGAGATAAAGCTGGAGATGCTCCGGCGGCAGCAGCCCGTGCTGCATCTTCTTCTTCTGTAGACCTCCGAGCTGCTGCTCTCGAAGGGGCTCTAGTCACCTTCCGCTCGACTCCCGCCTCCTCTCTGAACAAAAAGTAGAACGAATGAGACAACACCTTACTTCTTCCTGACTTCTGTAATCATTTCATCACTGAGAAGTGATATCTGAGTAGCTGATTTGCTGGCCTCAATACCCGTGTTAGGATAGAAACACATTAAATACAACAAGCACTCTGATAACCTGTGTCATATCCTTTGTAACCCAAATTCTTGGCAAATGTCCTGTATAACTGCCATTTCTTGCAGCTTGAATCATAAGGCGGGACAAACGTATACAACAATGACCATTACAGCAATATATGTTTTTCATTTGATAGTGAGAAGAGTGAAGTTACGCTGTGGTTACTTCAGGTTGTAAACGTGTTCTACTCTACCAGATGGCATCTTAGAAGAAACAATTGCGGTCATCTGCATATTCAACTGGTACGGAAAAAAAATGAATAACTCTAGAGAATAGAACTGGGACTCATACCCGGATTGGTTTAGATTTTGACTGGACCCAAGAGGCACTCCTGCACCTTTGAAAGATGGAACTCCCCGCATATTCTTCCTCGACGCAGCCTGCAAAGCGGCCTTTGCCTGATTGACAAACAACCACAACGGGTGCATAAGAGGATCTTATAGCTGCATTTCATCACCTGACAGTATTGTAACTTAACTACCACTGGGATTCTTCAGGACCAGCCAGCAAATCAGGCGACGTACAAATGAACCACTCAGTCGTAAGCCTCAAGTTTGATTAACCACCTCTGCAAGGTTCGTGGCACTATCTTCCCGCGAGGCTGCAAAAGGTCCCTCTTGAGAAGAAGGTCTGAGCTTGGGCGTAGTGACTGTTGAGGAAGATGTATCCTCTGGCAGATTTCTAGTAACAATGGTCCCACTGGAAAACATCTCACTAGCTTCTTCCTTGGATGCATCTCCGCTGGTGCTCTGAATATGGCATAGAAATAAAAGAAAGTTCAGGATGGTGACTAACATTAGTTAACCACCGTGCAACCTCAATTAGAACAAATGCCAAAGTAGGGAGTTGTGAACAACCCGCATCGACGAGCGAATCTAGTTTGTGGTGGTTGATTTAAAAAAAGTAGTCTATGAAGTACCATTCGATTGCCATGTTTACAATGTTCCGATTGTTCTTAGTTCTGTCTGCAGTAATTTTTATTTAAGATTTGTTTGGTTGTTGTTGGCATACTCTTCTCGGCTAATATACTTAGGACCACGTACCAGAGAAGATAGTTGAGACGCCAGGGACATTAATGATGCACGCTCCTGTGGGGAACCGACTAGTGAAGAAAGTTGAGACGCTAGAGACATCAAAGACGTCCGCTCTTTGGGAGACCGAATAACCATAGTACCAGAATTGCTCACAGACATTCTTCCCTGTGATGAGGACACAAAATGAGAACTGTTATTATCAAACAACTTCAAATCAAAACCTGCAGTTGCCACTGGAGTGCTGAAAGAGTCGCTACACAAGCTGCATACAAGTCTCTCTTGACCTCTCAAGGACCAAGAGAGTACACTGAATGGACGGAAACAAATGAGAGGAGAGGCACTGCTAACTAAATATGAAGCTCTGATTTGAATGCCCACCTTCACCCGACTAATTTCCTCATACCTGACTACCAAATAACTGGACTAGGAACTACCCATAACATGACACTGGAATAAACGAAATGGTACATAACTGCCGAATAACCCGATTGGGCATTGTGTGATAAGCACAGTATCAACAATGAAAGACCTAGTTCCTAGCTAATGTATCATCATGCGGCAAGTGAAAGGTTATACCCGAATATTATTTAAGCGCCTGGAGATAATATATATTATAATTTAGAACTTACGTCTTCAATAGGATCCTCTCCCTCATCTTCTTCTTGCATCCTAGGAAGCTCTCCTTGGTCTCCATTTTCCCGTGAGGAGCCCCGCAATTCTGAGAGACCCTCGTAAATGTTCCATTCTTTTTCTGTCTCCACCAGAAGACTAGGCAGTGCCTCGGTAGATGTATTCCCTTCATTATGAGATGTACTGTACGTTGGCTTCAAAGCACTTCGAATAGTTCCCGTGCTTTGTATTGTAGTGGTACCAAAATCCCAACTTGCATTTCTGATAGCCTTGCGCCTGTTCAGAATAAAAAATGCTCTGGTTGTTAATACTCGAGGTAAGCAAGGCAAGATAGCCTTCTCCGCAAATTTTGGACATTAAATCCAGCCTTGCAACGGGAAGTAAAGAACGTAAGGTCTAACAAGGTTTCAATTGTGTCCCACGACAGCCTGTAGTTCCTCATACTTATAACTGATGAAAAACTTACCGGTACTGCGCATCCTTTTCGCCTGTACTCTTGATGACCTTCTTCTTCTCAGCAGCTTCCTTCTCATACTGCTGATCTGGGCGTGGCAAGTCCTTACTTTTGCCAATATGTGTCTTCGGCCGTTCCCTGTCCAACAATTTTGACGGAATATGAGATACCTAGAATCGAGTAGGCCTGATGTATCCATACAAGAATACTTATAACTACGAAGGAGTAGAATGTGTCAACTTTGAACTACTGCCTTAACGATGAGGAACTTCTTTGATTCAGACACATGAACTTTACCTTATCCTCTCAAGGAGTCTTGGACTTTTTCTTGCATTCTTCACAAACCGGTACTTGAGCAATTCTTTTGCACTTGGCCTCTGCGCATAGTGATCATAATAACAGTTAGGACAACAACAGGGCACACCAACAGTTCCCCCTAGATACATCATCACTAGAGCTAAGCACGATATTAAAAAATGTGAAGGTCAACTAAAATATATTAAGTGCTGGAACCTCCACATTATGTATAGCAGGTAGACTGACACATAGTAAGAGGTCTCGGTTCAACTTGACTCTACTGTTCACAAATATTTTCCTAGGTGTGGACCAACAGCAGCCATAGAAAAAATCATTTACATACCTCAGCTGGGTTTTTCTTCAAACATAGTGAAACGAATTCCTTCATTTGTCGAGAAAAGTGCTCGTCCAGCTGCACCAGAATCATCGTGCTTAGAACTAATAACCAGGTAGATGACAGACATATTTCAAATCTTGTTTGGAAGATAATTACAACTCCTACATACTGGAGACTATAGAAGGTGAAAAGCACACGGCATTTAGCAACATACCTGAGGGGGAGGGTTCTTCGGTATGTTAAACAGCACTCTCATAGGGTGAAGTTCGGCATGGGGTGGCTCGCCCTTGGCCATTTCAATAGCTGTGATACCTAGCGACCAGATATCTGCCTGCAAGACGACGGTAGTATGTGAGATATGATGTTGGTATGTCCTCAACCAACCCACCAGGGAGACAAACGACCACTCTAACAGCATATGCAATATACCTTTTCATTGTAACCATCTGAATTCTGTATTACTTCTGGTGCCATCCAGAAAGGAGTCCCCACAAAGGTCTGCAAAAAACAAGGGTGTCATGTATCTAGAAGATATCGCCATCAGACAATAAATAAAGGATAACAATGACAAAATATCCAACTTGGCAGAAGCAAAATGGTGACATAAATAATGACTACCAGAAGCTGTCAGATACAACAGAAACGACAGGCTCTTGGGCAAGATAGGCCAACCAACCTTGCGCTTTGATACAGTGCGAGTAAGCTGAGCTGAAACTCCGAAATCTGCAACCTGTAGGCCATAGATTTTGTCAGCTCTAAATACGTTGTGACCACTTTCAGCTAAAATGATTCCTTTAACTGATGATAGTCGTAAATTGCACTCTGTGAGGTCGACAACAAATTTGTACCTTCACATCTCCGTTGGCGGTGAGAAGAATGTTTGCGGCTGAAAACGTTCCACAACAACCACAGAAAGAGACAATCAATCAACACACCTGTTTATGATATCTTTCAGGGTTAAAGACACCTAGATCACTGATAATGTCTCGTGCGAACATAACACAAACTCCAGTCGATCCTTTCATGAGGTAAAGTATATGTATTCGTCGTTAGACTTGTGCTGATACCTTTGATGTCGCGATGAATTTTTCCCTCTCCATGGAGATACTCCAAGGAGTGCAAGAGATCCCTTAAAATGCAAGCTATTGACATTTCATCAAGTGGAGGACCTGTTTCCAGCTGCAGCAAAGATGAACGAAAGTGATCATATATTAAAAATAGAGCTGAAAGTGAACGATGAACAAACTCCAAGAATTGAGTGAGTGAATATACACAAACAGAATGTTATTTCCTCAAGTGCGAGAACAAGCTGCAGTGAGACCCTTGATGCTATCTCTACCATTGAAGGTCAACGAGCTTTGGAAGCATCAAAGATGGAGGCAAGATAAATTGTGGAAGCTCACTCACCAAGTCCAGAACTGAGCCTCCTGCCATGTACTCCATGACGATCCATAGCTTGGTCGAATGGAGGTATGATCCATAGTATTCGGTAACATAAGGAGAACGGCATTGTGACAGCACTGATATTTCCTGTAAAACAATATACAATGTGACTTCTTATTACAATGATTACTCGCCCTCGAGTTTACATCCAACTCAACAGCGTGTTCAACACATAAAAACAGTGTTAACAAGGCAGTTAAACAGCTCAGGTACCAATAATTACCTTTTGAATGTCTTCGACCTCATCCTCTCTGAGAATGGACCCAGAAAACGAGAGTCCAAATCAGTGCCATTAAGATGAAAAAAACATCTACAAGCCTTCAAATGCTTTTGCCTGAGGAGAAAAAACTACTAAAAATCCGGAAAATGTGTTAACAAAGAGAGACCGGAGGCTGCTTTTGGGTCTCAAACGAGCAAAATAAATAGATGCTAACAATGCACAGAATGCCGTCAGTGGATATCCAAAAGGCGGACAAGAAACTCACGCTTCTTCCAAGTCTATGACTTTTATAGCCACCTCCTTGTTCAGCTCCTTATCAAACCTGTACATTACAAAGCAGTTGCTTCTTAATAAAATGATCAGTCAACCATACCTGTCAATTCTGCAGATATGCAGTTGACCAGCAAGGAGGGAGCAGTTGTGCGCTTGGAGGAGAGGAAAATTGGCATCCGCACTTCCGATCTTAGTTCTCAGGGTTCTAGAGATGCATGCTATTGATAATTGCGCTTCGTACTACCAAATTGCAAAAAAATGGCGTGAAAACCGAAGCTGTTGAGACATTTCCTTCATTGTAAGGGTAAAAGATCAATTGTCTCACATTTGGAAACTGATTTCTCGCTGCAATGCATCTACATGAAGGATGCTGTTCTCCATAAAAATTGCCTCCAGCGGCAATTACGATAGAGTAGAGAGCCGTATTGTGCAGAATCACCAGAATGACAAATTGCAGGTAGTACATTGCGAACCCTACATGCTTCGAATCACATCGCGTGAAAATAAGCAGACAAACAATCTATGTTTTCACACAGCGTAGCCACATAATGGGTAAAAAATGTCGAACCCTTTCCTTTGGGACGGAGCATCAGAAGATAGATTGAAAGTGCCCGTACTATTGTGTTCAGGGTCATCACATCATGTTCCGAGAAGATGTGTGCCGATGAATTCTAAGCTTCAACTGATATCAAGTGAGTATACACTGATATTAGGCCAATTTCAACATGTCAAAATATGAGTCAAGTGCTGCAAACATTTTGGGCGAACTTAATCATCACCAGTTTGCAGAATACACGACATAGAGAACTCAATTTCGAGTCCACTGACTCGAACAGCTCAAATAAGTTTGAAGCTTGCCAGGGGTAAACTTCACGCAAGGTGTCACAAATTTCGACAGAGGAAGGGCAAATGTCATAGAGCTGACAGCAAGACTGCAATCTCACAAGCGCAACATTCACGATTCTGAACGACCACGGCGTGACGCGGTGTAAAAGGACTGACAAGAAGCCGAGTTCGAACTGACATCAGGGACTGCATGGTGCAATCAGCTCGAATGATCAGAGTCCAACAATCATCGATGCTTTTAAAATACTCTTCGACATATTGGAAGATGCCGGAGGAAAATGCACAAAAAGGAGTGGGAGTGTGCGCCTTGTGAGGGCGAACAATCATCCTGACGAAACGCATCTCGGGGACAAATCGACTACGATTGCCGCACGTCAAAAGGCGGAAATGGTGAAGGACGTGGAAGAGTCGACCACAATTCAAGTTGAAGGACGTCGGAGGCCTATCGGATCTGAGCGGATGTGACAGAATTATGGTCGTCGCTGCGAGGTGGACAAAGAAAAGGGGAGAACGGGGTCCCAGGAGAAGGGCAAGAACCGTACCCTTTGAAGACATCCCCGAACGAACCCTTGCCAATGAGCTGCAGGTTCGTGAAGCGGGACTCAATGCTGTTGCTCATCCCTACATTGCTGCTGCTACTGGCCATCCTCTCAACACAAATCCGGTCTACCACATCCAATGTTGATTACTGTGAGCTCTCCACCAAGGGCGCCCGCACAACATCTTCCCTGCCATTGCTCAGCACGGCTCGTCATCCCAACCTCCCGTCGATGGGCACAACATGCCGACCGACAACCCTGCGCCTCCTCCCAGCTCACTACGCCCACCCATCCCAACTCCACACCTGTGCTGCAAAATCACGAGGCTCCGCACAAGGTGCCCACTCCAACTTACTCAACACCACTCCACTCTCTCTCCCACTCCCTCACTCGCTCCAACTCCACTCCCAGTCGCCTGAATCCCCGTCGCCCGACGCAATCCAGCACGTCGTCATAATTTATCACGCTGTCCGAAGCTCATCTCATGCACTCAAAATCCCCGCTGCTGCTGCTGCTGCTTCTACATCCTCCCTGCTGCTGCTGCTGCTGCTGCTTCTACTACTGCCACTACTCAGAACTTGGCTCGCTCTTCCCAAGACTTCTTCTTCTTCTCCCACTGCTCCTGCACCGCCTGCTGCTGCTGCTGCTGCTGCTTCCTGCCCATTCATTGCCTCCCTTCTCCTCTGCGCACACATCTACATCTGTTCTCGTCCCTCCCCTCGGCCCCTGCAAACGTGCGCCCAATCACTCAGTCCGCGCGTCCTGCTCCTTCCCTCGCTCCTTGATCTCCGCGTCTCGAATGCACGCCCGCGCCTCCGCTGAAGCAGCTGCCTCTGCTGCCTCCGTCCCCTGCATCCCTTTTCTCGCTCGTCCCTCCCTCACTCTACAGCTCTTTCTCTTCCACTCTCCTCCTCTCCTACTCTCCCTTCGGCCCGTCCTCCCTTGTCTCGCTTGCCTTCGTGCTGCTGTCACTGTCCGCCCCCCCCCGTCCCTCCTTCATACAGCTGGCCGCGGGCGGTTTATTCCCCTTTTTTATTCTTTTTTATTTCGTTTCTCTTTTTTCATATTTTTTGGGGGCGAGAAATTCCGGGAGCGGACTGCGGGCGTGCAGTTCGGGGCCCGTGTCCATCGCCTGCCGGAGTTCACAGTTCGTTACAGAAAGCTGGCCCGGACCGACTGTACAGTTCGTTCGCTGTGCCCGCAGTCCCGTACCGTGGGGCGGTGTTGGTTGTACCGTAGTGGGTCAGGGCTTTTCGGGCCCGCTTTTATTCCGGGGAGCCAAATTAGGGTTTGATAATTATTGTTTTTAATGGGGCCCCTTCCTTTTTCGCTGCTCTGCGGGTCCGCTCGGTTTCCGCTCTCGCAGATAAATGCCGTGCGCTGTCGCAGTTGCCCCGCACAGGCCAACCGAGCGTGGTCCGATCAACTCGGTCTCAGCTGTGCTGTACTGCGGTGGAGTATTCGAGATCGGTGAATATTCTGTCTCCGCTCCGCAGTCAGAGAGAGGTCGAACTGCGTTGGGCCATCGGAAGATGTATCGGACGGCGGGGGGGGGGGGGGGGGGGCGCGAGTGGGGCTCGGGGCCTGGAAATACTTCGCGATGCATACTTCTCCGGGATGTCGGTCGCATCGACGGCGTGGATGGGAACGTGGTTCTCGGTGGGCAGTACAGTGAACGAACGCGGGACTGCGTCAACGTTCGTGGAGGAGTCGGGGACGAAGCGAGCGAGCGAGGGCACGAGAAGCGACGAGAGTCTGGGGCTCCGGGTTCCGACATTCGACGTTCGGTGACGGGATCGCTGGCGGGGACAGCGCAGCGCGCGAAGATCGATCGAGGGACGGAGCGAGGGCATCTCATCTCGTGCGCGCACATGTCGTAGGGATTCGGCGCGGGGCGGAGCGGGCTTTGCGAGATCGTGTCCGACAGTTGGGATTGCGTCGAGTCGAGTTTTTCTCGTGGAAAGTCTCGTGTCGTCGACGATTAGGGCTCGGAGAGCGAAGCATCGATTTTCAATCGGGTGATCTCGAGGAGAGAGCTCCCTCTGGCGGTCGAGCTGGGCGTGCATGATTGCGGAGCTCAAGCAATCCTCGGGCGGACGGACGGTGAGGTCCAAGAGATCGTTTCTGTGTTGTGGATTAGGGTTCCTTCTGCGGTAGGTCGTCGTCGACGAAGGAGGATATCACTCGTTCGAATTGGGTTCGTCCGATAGGAGAGGGGTTTAAGCGAATAGAGTCGTAGGGAGATTTTGGGAACGCGGGGGCGTGAGTTCGGCAGGATGTCGGCCGTGCAGTTGCTGGGCCATCTGCCTGCGCCCAGGCATGCCAATAATTCGACGTACGATGTCTCGTCGGATCCTTGGTTTAAGGGCCGCGCCGATGCGGTGAAGTCACAGCAGTCTTCGCGTTTCAAGGAGCCTCCTCCTTACGGGAAACGAGCGGGTTTCGTTCCTCGGAAGGTGGAGGATTTTGGAGATGGAGGCGCCTTTCCGGAGGTTCATGTTGCCCAGTATCCTCTGGATATGGGGAGGAAGGAGGAGAAAGTCGACAGCAAAATTCTCCCGGTAAGTGTCGATGCCGAAGGTCACATAGCTTTTGATGCTATTGTAAAACAGTCCGAAAATGCCTCCAAAGTTGTCTACTCCCAGCATAGAGACCTTGTTCCGAAAGTACCTTCGGAGGTCATTGCCGAGAAGCCGGACGAAGAGGAGATTCAAGAGACTACTGATAGAACTAAAGCTGCCTTGGAGAAAATTGTTTCGGCCAGGTTGAGTGCGGCCCAGCCGAAAAGCGTTCCAAATCAAAACTCTGCGCCGTCGTACATCAAGTACACACCGTCCCAGCAGTCAACTGCTTTTAATTCTGGCGCCAAAGAGAGGGTGATTCGCATGGTGGAAATGCCCAAGGACCCATTGGAGCCGCCGAAGTTTAAGCATAAAAGGGTGCCGAAAGCTTCAGGATCGCCACCCGTACCTGTCATGCACTCACCACCTCGACCGGTTACCGTCAAAGATCAACAAGATTGGAAGATCCCTCCTTGTATTTCCAACTGGAAGAATCCGAAGGGTTACACCATCCCGTTGGACAAACGACTTGCCGCAGACGGAAGAGGTCTTCAAGAGGTTCAGATCAACGACAACTTCGCCAAGCTCTCGGAGGCACTGTACGTTGCGGAGCAGAAGGCGCGAGAGGCCGTGGAAATGCGTTCGAAGATTCAGAGAGAGCTGTTGCTGAAGGAGAAGGAGAAGAAAGAGCAGGAGCTTCGTATGCTCGCTCAAAGGGCTAGGATGGAGAGGGCCGGAGGTACAGGTGTAGGAGGAGAGAGGGCTGTTCCTGGTGTAGGCGCTAATCTCATGTCTGGCGACAGGAAGCTGGACGAGCCCGAAGCCCCACGGACTGTAACAAAGGAAGAGAGGCAAAGAGAAACCAAAGAAGAGCGAGAAGAACGTCTCAAACGCGAGTCTATCCGAGAAGAGAGGAGAAGAGAAAGGGAACGAGAAAGGAGATTGGAAGCAAGAGATGGGCCCGTTGGGAAGAAGAGCAAAATCACCAGAGACAGGGATAGAGACATTAGTGAGAAGGTCGCCCTTGGAATGGCCACTACCGGAGCAGCCGGTGGTGAAATTATGTATGACCAGAGGTTGTTCAACCAGGAACAAGGAATGGAATCAGGCTTTGCTGCTGACGATGCTTACAATGTGTACGACAAGGGCCTGTTTACTTCACAGAATGCCCTTGGAGGGTTGTATCGACCTCGCAAAGATGCTGATAATGAGGTTTATGGAGGAGCAGAGGAACAGTTGGACAAAGTTCTTAAAACGGATAGATTTAGAGCTGACAAGGGCTTTGCAGGCACTTCGGAAAGAACAACTTCTAGAGACAGACCTCTGGAATTCGAGAAGGAGGTAGAGGAGGCCGATCCTTTCGGTCTAGACCAGTTCTTAACTGAAGTGAAGAAGGGTAAGAAGACCTTGGACAGGGTCGGTGGTGGAGGAACGATGAGGGCCAGTGGCGGCTCAGGACCCAAAGAAACGTATGAAGGTGGCTCGAGTCGTAGTCGTGTAGACTTTGAGAGGGGTACCCGGTAGGCTTCAAATTTAAGTCCACAGTAATTCAAGAGGATTCGTGGAGGCCGTTTTCAAATGGTCGGAAGCATGTCCTCATGCTATGACTATCCAACCTCCGTGGTTTTCGCCGCAAATTGTTTGCAAAACATCTGACAGTGGATAAACTCGTCACAACTGCATGTTGTAAACTTGCAGTACTTCCATTTTAAGTGCAAAACTTAAGTAAATGGGAGCAACAGGTACAGGTGGAGCTTGAAAGCGCGTCGATCGGCGCTCAGTCAGCTGATTAAATAGAAGACTCAGCGCATGCTTCTTTTGGTTTCACCGCCACTACGTAGGAGCTGGTCGTAAGCTTTACTCGCTTCTAGGCGTAATTTCAAGAGTGTAAAGGCACTGCAGTGAGTTTATTTCTTTACATAGACTGGATCTGTCAGTGGAGCGGACGCTGCGGTTGCAGCATTTATTTGTATCATTAGAAAGAAGAATTAGCTCATGGTGGAATGCAATGTTTTCTCAGTGCTGTTCATCATTGTACAGTTTTTACAGTGACCATGTGTTTCCTTTCCTTACCTTCATATTTGAATTCAATCGTCAACTTTCTTTCTGTTCTGTAAACTACATGTCGCAAATTGCTTGTCTCATTATCCGTCTCTGTCATGCCGATCATATTGGCTCGTAACTCTTTCGAGAATGGTTTGATCTACTAAGCTATTCAATCTAATCTAGACTTGTGTGCCAACTTGACCTCAGACTAAGTGCTCTTAGAAGGAAAGAGGAAAGATCCAGGAGTTTTCACGCAGCAGATATCAGCTCATGATGTGCTCATCATTATAGTTTCATGAAGTTCACATCCAGAGTGTACCTGACGTGGGTGTGTTCTCAATTAGAGCGAAATATTTAAATCAAAACTAGATCATTGTAGACCTGCCACAGCCCTCATTTCAGTGCTTTTCTACGGTTTGGGTTTCTCATGTGGGTCCCTGCAAGCGTTAGCATCGGGATCCTGTAAAACTTTCATCCGATGGTACTGCCATGCGATTCAGTGTATTCTCTGTGGTGCCATTTAGGCGGATACCTGTCTTGAGGAAACTCGGATTTTTACATTGCAGTTTTGGTTCATATATCGTGGATTGGAGGGATTGTTGGTGCCGGCCTGCCTAGCATTCTGTATACTATCACAGATAATCGAACGGTCACTGTTCAGGAGATAATGCCCTTCTCCATCGCCCGGGATGTGGCGTAACCCTCAACGTTTTTTGAGTTCCTGTTTCAAGGGATGTTCTGGTCATGTTTCAGCACTCCATATAAATAACCCTTCACAGGTTTGTACTACCAACGTTGGCACAGATTGAAATTCGAACGCTCTACGTCAGTCTGGAGTTCTTCACTGGACATTTGGCCAGTTTCAGTAGGTAGGCACGATTATATCACAAGACCTTCATTGCTTCATTCACACTCCCATTGAAATCTTCATTGCTTGTTCTCATGGCCCTTCATGAAGGATTGAATATCTCTTCTGAGAAACATGGTATGTAAACTAAATAAGTCCATTTATGGACTGAAGCAATCCTCATGACAGTGGTATCAAAGGATTGAATTGTTCTTACTGCAGATTGCTTTTACCAGAGCAAATGCAGATCAGAATGTTTACATATACTCTCAGGAGAATGCATTTGTGTATTTAGCCCTGTATGTTGACGACTGTATACTGGCGAGTAATTCCTAGTATCTTCTTACAAAGATCAAGGAGAAACTTAAAACTGAGTTCGAGTAATTCCTAGCATCTTCTTACAAAGATCAAGGAGAAACTTAAAACTGAGTTCGATATGGTGGACTTAGAAGAGATCCATCAGTGTCTTGGTATGCAAGTAAACAGAAACTGTGAAGAAGGGTGGATTCGGATCTCCCAATCACGATATTTGGTTGAAAAACATGCGAGGTTCAACATGGTTGACTGTAAGCCTATTGATACACTAATGGAACCCGGTTTGAAGCTAAGCGCGCCTGACTCTCCCAATTCAGTGGGAGAAAGTCAAGAGATAAAAGATATACATCAAGCTGCTGTTGGGAGCTTGATGTGGGCAATGGTCTGAACTATATATCGTAACCTGATATATCTTATGCTGTTAGTTCAGTTCATGTCAAATCCCCAGATTAATACACTCGAAAACAGTTGAGAGGATTTTCAGATATCTGAAATGAACTCTAGACTTTGGCCTTGTGTTTACAAGGTTGATGAAACATCCTGTTTAATCAGATATCTGAAATTGACTCTTGACTTTGGCCTTGTGTTTACACGGATTGATAAACCATCCGGTTTTTAATTGGATATTATGATGCGGATTGGGGAGTTTGACTTGACACGAGACGATCAACTTTTGGATATTGCTTCCAATTCAATGGTGGAACGGGTAGTTGAACATCAAAGAAACAAAAGCCAGCAATACTTTCCTCTACAGAAAGCAAAACCTATGGCTTTGTCCAAGGTTGCAATTGAAGTATTGTGGTTAAGAGAATTATTGAACAGTCTAACCTACTTGTTGGATTTGTCAACCCTTTCCTCTACAGAAGCATAACCTATGGCTTTGTCGAAGGTTGCAATTGAAGGATTGTGATTAAGAGAATTATTGAAAGATCTAACCTACTAGTTGGATTTGTCAACCATATTCTGTGACCATAAAAGTGCTATTGTACAAGTAATGAACCTGAAAAATCACTGAGAAATCTAAATATATCATTTCGTGAGGGACCTAGCCGCGAATAAGCTGATGAAGTTAGTTTGTCTCTTAACCGAAAATATGATAATAGATATTATGACAAAACCATTAGCTAGAAAAAAGCATTGGTATTATAATTAGAATTTGGATTCATTGGATTGAAATGAAAAATAGAAAAAGAAATAGTTAGCGAATGGAAGTGTTAGAATACAGATATTCCCTATTATTTTAATGTGTTCGAATTTATATATTACTATTTCAAAGTGAAATGTTTAGTACATTCCCAAATAATAGGAATGTACTCTTTCTTATTCCTTAGGATAATTAATTATGGAAGTGTTAGAATATTCCCTATTATTTTAATGTGTTCGGATTTATATATTACTATTTCAAAGTGAAATGTTTAGTACATTCCCAAATAATAGGAATGTACTCTTTCTTATTCCTTAGGATAATTAATTATAGAGGATGCGACTTTTCATAGGAATGTGTCTCGTTGTAAAATCATATTCGTTGGGAAGTGTAATATTCCATGTACTTTGTATCTTTTGTTCAAACTCCAATTATATATTTAAATTTAAAGAGTTATCTTTGTTCATCCATCAGTTATCTATACAATATTTCTTTTAAACTTTATTGGGTTATCTCTCTTCTGTCATCAATTATTTGTTCAACATTTTTTCAAAATTTTTCAATTTCCATTGTTAGTAAGATTATTATTGTTTACTTTATTGAAGTAATAAAGCAATGAGAGTTAAAAATCTATACACAATTTGAATAAATGTTGAAATGATAATTAATGGTGAACAGAGGTACCCAAATTGAATTTAAAATCCAACAGAGTGAAACCAAAGGATATGAAATACACGAAATATCACATTTCTCCGTGATACATATTACTATCATGAAGTGTCATATCCTCTGGAGTTAACCATCCTACATAATAAAAAATTACTAATCACTACATTTCAATCTTAACAATTAAAATAATGTACAAGTCCGAACACATGAAGATAATAAATTATAGCTATATTCTAATAGGTTTGTACTACCAACTTCGGCACAGATTAAAATTCGAATGTTCTAGGTCAGTTTGGAGTTTTTCACATCGAAACTAGTAAATTTGCGAATTTCAATGTGAAGGCACGATTATACCGACCTTCTGGTCGCGCGGTATGTGTGCATACTCACCTATTCACCTGTGATAGGGATGATTCATGACAGTTTGGCAAAGATTGTAGTTGTATGTAGTTATCTTCGAGTTCTACACGACTACATGATTTCGAATTCACCTGTACATGGACAACGAATGTTCAAACACGGAACAGTGTTTGGCCATGGACTCAAACACGCAACTCAACACTTGGGGATACTGTTGTTCCTTTACTCCTCATGAACTTTAAATACATAAAAGGCCAGAAAAAGCTCTTGAAAATGTACATATCCGATTCAGTTTAGGGATAATTTGACAAAAAAATGCTTCAAGAGAGGAATATAGGTTCTATGAAGCGGCTAATATACAAGCTCAGTGGATTCGTTCACACGGGAAAATTTAATGCTGGATCCCTCTCTCCCACCGGGCAAACTCATGATCGATGCACGACAAAATTGAGACACATCTCTGGTCACAGTGCTCTGCTCATTACACTCGCCTCCTCTTGCCGGGCTTGCCACGAGGCTTTACAGTGGTTTCCGCGGCAGAAAGGCGCATGACTTCCAAAGGATCCATCCTTTCCTGACCAATCACCACGAGCTTGCTCTTGCTTGTGGCTTTTCCAGCTGCACCTTTTGCTCCAGAGCCGCTCTTGGACATAGCCAGGGCATACTCTTGCAACTGCTTCGTCACGAAGGGTGTCATACCAGCCTGCATCACCAACCAACGAAACCTTAACATGGTGCAGTGTGAAGAAAAGACTGCGAACAGAAGAGAACGAATTTTGTGAATATTTTTGACCAAGCGACAATATCAAAAGGAGGACCACACGAATAACAGGAAAAGCGTAAGAAGCAGACCCCAGTTATGTAACGGTTCGAAAAAGCTTTCGGTTTGACAGGTTGGCTCAGCATCTCGTTCAGTTCCTGCTCACATTGACCCAAGAGCATCGTCAACAGAAAAGTCAAAGGAGACATCTAGTTTGCTGCACAGAGTGAATTGAGCTAGTACAATGGAGACAGAGAGAGACCACAATTTATGTTCTCAATTTGAGCACTGTAAACTGACAGAATGCAACATAGACGGAGTCAGTCATGTGTTCACAATAAAACCAACAATAGATATATGTGAGATAAACCTTTTGAACTGCCTTGAGTTGAGCAGATTCCCCCTTCGTGAGCGATGATCCTCTTCCACGGGGTTCATCCTCATCTTCACTCTCTTGCATATCAAGTTCCATCTCTTCAGCACTGCGTGCTAACCATGCGTGGGCTGCCTTCGACTGAAATCGACAATATGAGAAAGCATAACATCAGCAACACACTCTTTCCTATTTGTACTGCACACTTCATACGAATCGCTCTGACAGATAATATAGATAAGAGCGCTATGAGCTCAAGTACCGGGTGTGCTAAAATCCATGTACCTGTGCATTCTTTCGCATAAGTTTGTCAACCTTGACTGCCAGGTCAACTCGCTTCTTACAAGCGGGTACGTACGCCATGTTGACAGGAAAGTTGTTGAACCCATCTGGCTGTTAACAAATCTGGAGGTGTCAGAGAGAAACAACATATGTCCACATATCCAGGTACAAGGCATCTACTGCTTCGGAAGAAGAAACGGGAAATACGGTTAGGAAGGACAAGCAGCGTACAACAGGTTCCCGATATCAAACCAGTATTTGGACAATCCACGCCATCGTGCAAGGAAGACAACTCACCCTTGAGAGGGCTCGACACAGAGTTGCATACTTCGCTTTGTCGGAAGGTGATACCAGGGCGATACTGCATCCATCTGTTGAGGCACGGGCTGTTCTTCCACTTCTGTGTACATAAATCTGTGCAACTCTCAGATCAGATACGTTTTGATACGAAAGGAACACCGTGCTCTGATGCAAATCTTTTGTGCTTCATCAGAAGCAGCTGGAACGGAACGGCTAAGAACTGTAGAGCTAACTTCTACAACAAACTCATTTTATGATTACATAATCTGTCTGCTCATGTCGATATAGCTTGCAAAACGTCGTACCTCAGCTGAATGGGGTAGCTGATAGTGAATAACTGTGCGGATGCCTGGGACATCAAGACCCCTTGCAGCAACATCGGTGGCGACGAGAATGCAATCCTGACTGCTTCTGAACCTGTCCATTGCCTGCGTCACGATACCAACAGGAAATTTCAAGTCAAGTTTCAAGTCCCGGTAAGTTTGAATTTAAAACCGCAAAACAGTCAAAGAGTCAAATCGATGAGATGATCCCAAGGTGAGAATGAAACCTTAAGACGCTGCTTCTGTTGCATTTGCGCGTGAAGGGGGTGGACTGGAAGTTGCAGAATCTTCAAAATAGCGGAAATTCGTCGAAGTGCAGATATCGAGGTGCAAAACACAATTGTCCTCCCTCCTCCATGTATCTTGAGAAGGTAGTACATATATAGATCCTTATCTTCTTCACGACACCTGACAACAAAAGAAAGACGCAAAAATCAACACCTCAATGATGATAACATGTGAGTAAAAAGCACTACAAGAAAGGAGAAAGGCTACGGAAGATGCCTTCGGAATAGATGACTGCTGATTCAGCGTTTGGGTTGCGGCAAGAGTTTACTTACTCTACCAGACATTCCGTTAGGGTTTTGGCCACGATGCTGGTCGAGGTTAGGTCAACGATGGCAGCTTTGTAACTAACTCCTGCTCTTTCTGATAACGCTGCGACAGAATCTAAACTCTTCATGAACGGCTTGGAACCCTGATTGCTAATTTTCAGCTTATTTTTGAAGTTCGGAGGCAGGGCCAGAGTTGCTGAAAACACAAGGGTTTGTCTTCGCTTCCTCGTCTTCGGTATATCGACATCTGCTCCAACACCATCCACGCCTTCCACGTTACTGTACTCCTCTTCCTCAGCTGATTTTGATTGGGTGCTAGGGAGGGCGTCAATTATAGACTGCAATTCTTTGAAATGGCCTTTCTCGACCATCCGATCGGCCTCGTCCAAAACAAAGAATGACAGGGAATGCAACTGCAATGAGCAGAGACAGCCAACAATTAGTTTCATACGAATCTTTACAGCAAAAACTTGATCCTGATTCTACATCATTCTGAAACTGACCAGCTGAGTGTAAGTAGAAGTGGACAGTAGTAAACCTCTAAGAGATGAGATTCTCCGTTGCTCATCAACTCCCAGAGCCTGCCAGGAGTCCCCACAACGATCTCTGGCTTGTAACTCAACAAACGCTGCTGCTTTGGGGTCGCCATTCCTCCTACTATAGGTACAATGTTTATGTCCGTCCATTTAGCAGCCGCTTTAAGATGATCACAAATCTGTCCAAGTACATCTCTGTAAATATCGATGTTGCACACTTAAGCCAATCATCAGTACAAGAAACTTTAAAGTACATTCAAGAGGTCACTCAGCTCCTTCAACAACAGAACTGAAGCAAAGCAAGGTTACTACACCTGTAAAGCCAGTTCCCTGGTGGGCGAAACTATCAGAGCCCTTAAAGGACCCACACTTCTATTTTTCTTCGTTGTGGTCTCCGCATCGTCTTCACTCGGAGCTAGACTATGCTCTGCCTTGTCTTTCTCCTCTAGCAGGCGCTGTAATATTGGAAGCCCGAAAGCGAGGGTTTTACCCGAACCAGTTTCTGCTGCTCCGATCACATCCTGCAATGGTACGACAAAATATGTCAAAAATACGCTGACAACACCAAGAGAACACAAACGAAAACCTCATAGAGAACGAGAAAAGGTTGAGAGCACAATAATACGGCTTGACGGATTGAGAAAGTTGATGAGCGGCTGTGTACAATAACATATGCTGTGAATTTTGGCAGTCTGAGACGAACACGATGGATGCTCCACACGAATCGAAAGTTACCTTTCCTCTATGTGCTGCTGCCGGTATGCACTCCTGTTGAATAGGTGTCGGTTCTTTAAACTTCAAGTTTTTGATGGCCTTTTCTAGGAGGGGGTGAAGTCTCATCTGCGCCCACGCAGACGTATCGAAGTCCTCATCGATGGGCTCATCGGCTGCAGCTGAGGCCGTTTCGTCACAATCTGTGTCCGGATCCTCTACTTCCTTGACCATTTTTCTCTTCTTAGAAACTTTCGCATCTTTTACGGCCTTCGGGACCACCCCGACGGGCTCCGAGAGATCTTCTTCTTGAACCGAGGGAGATTTGGCGAGACTACATGTGTCGATCGTATCTTCTCTCTCGGACGAAACGACAGTAGCTCCAGAAACTTGAGTTGCACTTTCCTGGTCTCGCTTCTTCGCTCTTCTTGCTTTAGAGCCGATTCTGGCCTTCCTTTTCTTCTTCAACCTCGGTTCGGCTGTCGTTTCCTCATCGGTCACTTCACTTACAGTATTCTCACCTTCAGTATCGGATCGCACGGCGACATCTGGAGACCCGGCATCTGTCACTACCACTGACTTATCCTTCCTCTCTTTCAATTTCCTCTTCTTCTTTGGCTTTCGTTCCTTCGGAATCTTTCCTTGCAGAACTACTGCCTCGACTTCCGCTGAACCATGATCGGCATCGGCGGTTGCCTGACTTTCAGTCGCCTTAGACTTTTTCCTCTTCCTGGAACTCTCCTCTACTTGGATGGCCGCCTCAGGCACTTCAGGGGCTTCAGCTTGCTCAATCAATTCGCCGTTTACATCGAAATTTTCGAAATCATCTCCATCAAATTCCTCCAAGGAGAAGAATCCTACAGACCAAAGGCCAGACGGATGAATTATTCTGTCCCAGGAGAGACAGAACTGGAAAACTGGGAAACCAGGACGGGCAAAATAAAATCGACCAGCCAATTTTGCAACAGAGATAAAGAGATCGTGTACCTCCTTCTTCGTTCCCAACCAGTAACGAAAGAGATTCTGATCCAGGAGTCACGTTGCGCCAACCCGACTTGCGTTGCCAGGGGAGCTTTGTGCCTTTCTTCTGCAAGCCGCTCTTGATGGAATTCTTACCGCCTTTAGTCATGGTTTTAGTCCGAGCTGAAGAATCGTTTCACACTTCTATGGAAATTGCAAAGCTCTGCACAAAATGCAAGGACAGGGCCTTCAGACGATTCACAAGCACCTGACCTCGACATCTTCGACTGGCTTGCACATTCTCTGAAAAATATCTAGGAACAAAGGATTTCACTATGAACTGATGGCGAGCGCAGTATCGTGCGTTGTTCACTCATGACTTTTGTGATGCACACACACACAAATGAGAAAAGCATTTCTTCCACGGACGTAAGCATCAAAGAACAGAGCTGGACAGATGGGGTGAAGAAGAGACACTCACGCTTCTTAGGCGCCTTCTAAACAGCTGCTTACGAAAACCTGCCCAGTCACAACGATTCTCGTTAGCGCACAGCCAGCGCACGCACCCATCCATCCACCCGGCTTACCTCTGAGGCAGAGACGATTCTTCACAATTGAAGAATTCGCTCGCATTGAGGCAAACGAAAGTCACAAAGCCAACACGCTCAAACGATGATCAAAACAGTGGCTCGCTATGTGAAGTTTAGATGATGTAAACCCGTACACTAGACAACTACTCCTTCTCCTTACAGACGAATTCCCCGAGAACAACTCTGCTACGGTTGTGAGAATTGCAAATTCTCCTAAATGGTGTGGGGAATTCCAATCAGTGGTACATACAGTCGGATTTAAAGTGCAGGGGCTCCACAAATTGTTAAACCGCCGGCCCTCAGGACGCAAGCCAACCCACAAACTGCTCTACCAAACCGCAATTCAAGCTAAGGAAGAATTCTCTCAGGTGTTCTTGACCAAGAGAGTTCGATAACTTGATGTTCATGTGGGAGCAAATCTCTCCACATCCCCAGCTGACAGTCAGCATAAAAACGCGGAAAGTCACAAAATGTCCGGAAGAGAAGCAAATTATTCGATCAGGAGTTGGCAAAGCAAGCATGTCAAATCTGTAGAATCCGTGCAAGACATTTTACCATGACGAATGAGAATTCAGATCAGATGATCAATCTGTGTCTGAATTCTCTTCCAGTTGGACAGCTCTGCCAATTCCTGGCTCTTGCTCCAACCCTCCTCGTGCTGCTCGGCCTCGCATGTCCTCGACATCCTGGTTAGGGTTTAAGGTCCTCCGGGTTTATGTGCGTCGCGAGCACAGCCGCGCGACTCTCGTCCTGCGTGAGTATTTCCTCCGCGCCCTGGTGCCACTCGCTCGCGACGTCGTCATGCCTCTCCCCGCTGAAGATCGAGACGTCATGAAAGCCCCAAATTCGTCGCAGTTTCCGCCAGTTCCAACGTCCGGGGCACCCATAGAGGTATATATATGTGGAATTCCCCATCATCTCATTCACGAGGCTAAACCCATGGCTAAAATGGGGCCCCCCATTTATGGATAAAAAAAATACGAAAATCCCCATTCTATATAAAAAATATTTAGTAATAAGTTCAAATGAAAATCCTTGGGACCCATCAAGCAGTAATCTATAAATAATACTTGCGGGGACAAGGCGTGATTGTTTGGTTTTTTCTATATAACCAGAATATGTCCTATTAAATCTAATATCTGATAATTATCGATATTGAACCGAAGTGTTGTGGGGAACGGTAGACCTTGATGAGGGCCTTATTGTCCTCTGGATAAAAGGGAGTGGAGATCGCTGTTCTTGTAGATACTGGAGTGTTCTAAGGAATTTGTAACTGTAATGGGGAATGTTGCTTGTCGCGGCTTTCTCCCTGACGCTCGCTGCAAGAACCTCTTCTTGCGGGGACCAGAGAGGAACACATGGTGGTCAGTCCAGAGTGCGGTGTGTCTGCTGGTTCAAAGCGGGCGTGATTCTCCGGCTTGCGGTCGGCCAGTTTGTCCGACGAGGGACCGACCGTGGCCACCGGAGGTCAGCAGTGACCTGCGACGAGGGGTTCGTCGCGTTTCTTGCAGGGCAGTGGCGCAGGGCGACTGCTGTTGTTGAGCGAAGGCTTGGAGACGAGCAGGAGGAGGAGCGATGGAGATTGGACGGCGTGTGCATGGAAAACTCTGGTCTGCAACTTTTTTGTTAACGCAGTGAAGAATTTGGGGACGCCAGAGCGAAGTCCAGCGGAATGCAATTTTGCTGGGGAGCTGGATTTCTGAGCTCTTTTATGGGGATGTATGCGTCTGATGCATTCACTTGACAGAGCAATGTGTTTTTCGCGTCATGCGAATTTTTCTGAGTCCATGTCCTCGGAATTCAATTTGGGAGAACGGCGCTCTGAGATAGTATTCTCCGAGTGAGCTCAGAGATATAATGTAATTGTTTCATCACCCTGAAGATGCCTGACATCTCTGAAGAATCTAATTAATTAGAATTACATCATGGCGATGAGGCACAAATGCAAGCTTTCCTGCGATCTTATTCATACTCACTTCGGTGAGCTTGTTGAGGTTTTTTCTCTCCCCTCAGCCCCTTTGTTTTTTTTTCCCTTTCATCAGAAGGCTGCTGGTTATCGGAATTGGACTCAGATTGTGCAACACCGTGACTGTCATTGAGATTGTAAGCACTTCGATAATGTACCTTGATATGCCCTATATTTCGATGAATTTGCTTATATTTGGATCTACTGTCGTCCTGTCTGATTACCTTCGCAAATTTTTGTCGTCAAAATGTGGATTATATGATGGATAGTTTGTGTACGTTCAATATTCAAAAAAATTGGTTGTTTTGAATCGAAAGTTGTAATTTTGGAAACAAGATGTCTATCAGCATAAGCTCCTAGGTCTGTACTCTGTTTTAAGAGGAATCTGTATTTTTACAACTGGTTTTCAATCCATTTTTCTGCAGAAAGTATGTCGTTGCTTGGTGTACAAAGGGCCACTGGTCTTAGCCGAAATAGCCAGATATACCGAAATGAATATCACTCAGCTTCGGAATTGTCTCCTCGTTCTCGTCCAACACAATTGTGTTCAAGGCTTCAAGATATTTCAAGAAGGTAATATTTACTACTTACCTCGATAATTATCATTTCTTTATCTATAAGGTGAATACGAAGTACGTAGATTCTCTGAATTCGCGGGGAATTTGGCCTCCCGTTTTACTGTCACCAATTGTAAACTCTGTATGTTTTGCTTCTAGTGTGATCCACATAATACATGTATCCAAGTCCAAAACGTTAATGGATCGGTAAGTCTTGAACAACATTTACTCTTTTCATTGTGAAACTATTTGATTTTGGATTGTATTATGTTGTGCCTCTTCTCATCCTCATCATGTGAAGCAGCTGTAGGGCCAAATCCTCCGAAGGTATTAACGTCCTATCTGGGCCTAACTGACAACATTCTCCATCGAATGCGGTTTCCCAAGTTTCTTTCTATTGTCCGTGATGAACTCGGCGAAGAGGTTTGTTCGATTCGATCAGAAGATCATCTTTTGCTGATTGTGTGATTTACCTGGGCAATTTTTTTGCATTGTTCAAACCATATATACGTGATAAACCAATCCGTTCTTTCAAAATGAGGAAATAATCGGGTGGATTGATTCCTCGATACTGCCAAGAGAATGCGAAATGTAGGTCACATGAAGCTTCACGCAGGGTATAGTAACGATATATTCCATGATCTTGGTCACAAACGATGCAGGCAGAGGCTTTGTTGGAAGGGCTGCTGGAACACGGGAGGCTGACTTTGGAGCAAGTCGTCCAACGGGCTGCTGCAAGAGCTGGAAAAGGTCTTACATGAGCTCTACTTGCATCAAATGTTTAGTCCCAAAGCTCAAAGAATTTTTGAAACTATCTCCAAAACTAATAACTTGATTGTTTCGATCTCTCTCAACTTGTCCCATTTTATAAACAATTCTTTGGTGTCTATTGAACCAGTGAAAGTCGTCATTGTTTCGTAGGTCTTGTCATTGAAACATTCCTTAATGGTTGCCTTCGATTTTCCAGCCGAATCGGAAGTTGAGCTTCCTTTGAAGCAGACTTTCGCAGCACTTGTACGTTCGCACTACATTGAACGATGCCCTGCATCAGAGCCAACGGTTGCTCCCAAAGCAATTGAACCACCAAAGAAGGTTCCGCGTGGACCGAATTCGGTAAGTTTGATACCCTTGTCATCATTTTTCTGGAACCAGTGTTTCGGATCCTGGTTTATCATAAAGCAGGATCCGAGTTATGGCTGATAAACCAGATCTGTGTGTAGCTGTCCTCTGATTTCTGCAAGCTTTTGAGTGTTTTGAGTTCAACTGCTCAATACGAACTTGTCTCCAATAGTTCCCATGTTTTCAATACTGCATACTCATTTGTGCAGTTCTCAATTACCTTCTATCTGAACTTCTCTTTTGCCCTTATCTTCTCAAATCATGAACTAGTCTTGAAGAAAGTCTTACTGTTCTTGTGAGTTCAAGCTACACCAAACCGCTTTGCTCTCAAACTTGCACTTGTTTAATACAGAAAGGACGCGCCGCGAAAGTAGCAGCTATAAAAAATTTGGAAAGCGACTATGATCGAATTGTCTCTGTAGCAGCTGCTCTAGATACCGAACGATTTCGTATGCCTTCCTCACTAGAAGAAGTTGGGGAGACCGGCGGTGGGGACGTTTCTATGACTGATCCCGTGGTTCCAGGTCAGAAGGTCAGCCAACGAAGGACTTCTTGTTGTCTGTGTCTTTGGCCGTCAACTTAATATAACTCATGGCTTTCTGCTGAGGCTCCGCACATTTCTCATTTATTTGTCCAATTTCTATCGCCTTAACAATTCTTGATATTTTACTGTTGTTTCAGTTGTTCTGTGTGGCTGTGGCAGCGCAAAAGAGATGCTTTGGCAATGGATGCGAAGACAATGGCTATTGTGGATGAGAAGGAGGTTCTATGGCGCGCCAATTATGAGGAATTGATTCGAAAATTAAGGCACCAGGTGAACTGAAAAAAACATGCTTGATTTTAAAGACTCCATACGTGCTGGTTTGTTTTCAGGGAACTTAGAAAGAAATATTGAATGTTTCAACTTTTCTCAACTTTTTTGACGTATTTTGATGTAATTTCATGTATTTTGAACACGGAAGCAGGAGAAATTGTTTCTCATTCATCAGTAAGATCACAAAGAGTATCACGTGTTGGAAACCACTTCTCACCCGGTTGGCACATGTGTATGGATCGTGGAGCCTTAGGGTTAGAGACCTGTCTACATGTTATCTGAACTCAACATTTGCACAAATCATCGGCTGTTTGATTGATAGCTCACTTCTTTGATCTTGTAGGCTTGTGTTGCACAAGTCAAGACAAGAATAGATGCTGCTGCAGGCTCAGTGTTGGCGGCGATGTTGGAGATGACCAGAAGTTCAGAAACAACATCAAAACCGCAAGTTTCAGGTACTGATGACTCCCTCCTCATATTACGTGTATGTACAATCAGAGCAATTTGCAGCTATTTTGCGTATATCGTCTAAATTGGAACATTGAAGCCATTCGTGGTTGTGGCTTTCTCTATCTTTCATGCTTTTCGCTTTTCTAGTTCTCCCTCCTCTTTTTTTTTTAATTATTACCTCCGATTGCGGTGACATTTGTGAGCCTTTCAAACTTCAGGTAGTGGAAGAGAGATGGGACTCCAGTAGAGTCTCAGCTGATCGTGTATTGCTGCCCTTTCCCTTGATATCGAATTGCTGAGTATATATATGGTCATCATAGAAGGTCTCTCAGGGATCTGGATAATCGATCCGCATTAAGATCCCCATACTTATGGGTTCAAGCTTTTCACCTCTGCAGCGCCTCTCTCAATGACGGTCATTATGCAAGCAGTAACCATGACTCCTGAAGGCCGCACCATGACCATGGAGCGCATTCGAGGAGCTTTGCATCAAATGGCACAAGAGACCGTAGGGTTCATCACCCGGACGGGTGAAGGCGGAAGCAGTTATATCATCAGTATCCTTTCTGCGGAGATCATAAATGTGATAATATGCGTCTGATGTCATACCCAGGTCCCTGGTGTCAAACTTTGAACATCTGACACAATGTAATGCACGGTTTGTATGTAATCCTTAAAATCTACCATCGAATCTTAAAATAATCTTAAATGTCATCATAAGCTCTTCACTTTCTCCTGGGTCCTGAAGTGATCCTTTGAAGTTGGCTTGACCAGCTCTGTTCCAAACTGATTTGAGCTCTTCCTTGTATGGTGATGAAAGATGAGCCCTAACTGTTATTCAAAGATATGCACAAAATTATTGAGCAGGGGCGACGAAACGAGGTATGTTTACTCTCTCTTGTTCAACCTCTGACTGCTTTCACTTAGCCCCTGTCATCGGTGTCAATTCACAATCTCAATCAACGATGGTCAGATTATCGTGAGGATGACTCCGAGTCGAAGACTTCAGTGACAAATGATATGGTAAATTTAATTTTATTACCTGAAACATTGACATAGAAATTTGATCAGTAGTTTTCGTCGTCTCTACAAGATGCGTTAGACTAATCTTCTGCATGAAGTTCCCAAAGAATCTGGATTCTTTGGACAAGCATCACAGATAAACCACCAACAGTACCATGAACAGATGACCCAGGAAAATGATAGCTTTTCAAGGAATCTGTTCATGAACACAGGAAATAGGAATTGGCCAGATAAATAGCTGGAAATTATATTCTGGCTATCCACCACAAAATACCTGTGTTCACTATATGCAGCTTTTTTACTTTGGAGCCGTTTTCTCATTTTAGGTGGAGGCCATCGTGTTACAGAGATTTGGACGGGAAAGTTGTCGAATATTCAGGCTCTTGATGATGAAGGGGCAGATGGAACAAAAACAGGTCAGCTCAATGTTGTCCTCATGACAGTAGGTGTATTTTTCTTCTCGATTCAATGTTTGCACTGAAGGTCAGTGAGATTGGCAATTTCATAGGCCCTCTATAAGATTTGGACTGTCATGAGTGTTGCAAACTGCTCTGAGTTTGAATACAGATATATAACACCTTAATGTTCAGATTGCAGGCATGGCTATGGTACAGTTAAAAGACGCACGGGAGCTTCTGTATAGGCTTCTGAAAGAGCAATACGTGGTTGTTCAAGTAAGTAGCCATTTTATTTTTCAAATAGGGTACATAGTAGCCTCTGTTATCCAGATGTTAAAGGGGCGATGTCGTCTTGTAACGGGGGGCACCATCCTACATTGTTGGAAATTTTGGAATATATTGTCATGCTGCTAGATGTCAATCTCGGGAGTCTCTCTCATTTGTGAACTGTTATACAACCGCCACCGCAAAAGCTGTGTACTTTGTTTTTGAAAGAAGCTTTAAAAACGAAAGTTTTGTTCTTCATTTGTATTTCCTTTTTCAAAGAAAGTTACAATTCCCCCAACTTATGAATAAGAATCCAGAATATGAATTTGACTCATACCTTAGTTGATTATGATTACTTTCACCAAGAGATTTATAGAAATTGTCTTGCTTACCGTAGAAAACAACGTGAGCCTCGTAGTCTTGGTCCTTAAATGGCGCCAGCCGATGCAAAGCCGAGAACCAGACCTGCTGGATAGTAGTAAGAGAAGTATGTGCTGGAGTTTGAAACTGGTTTAGACCTTTTTAGTCGACAATCTCTCCTCTGATCATTCCATCTTTCCTATCTGCTAGGATTCCTAAGTTAGAAAGAAAATGTCTTCTGGTTATATGGTGCGACGACACTGAAGTCTTAAAGATGTGCATGGTTCCAGCGAAACTATCTTCCTACAGTTATCAATGAGTCCTCATTGTCGCTTATCATATGTTATCACAAATTTGTAGCCGTAGGGTTTGTGATGGATTACAACTTAGGGTTTCCGTCTTCCTGGTCGTTTTTGTGTATCGTTCAGGATATGCTTTTGATAGTTAGCACTGACGCTTGCATTGTCTTCTTGATCCTCGTGTCATGTAAACTGATCTTATCGCCGATATACACTCAGTCGTGGAGGTTGTTGCCTAAGAAATAGATGTCACCCAAGTGCAAATAAAGTTGAACAACCTCTTCATGATAGAGAATCCGTACAGCATCGTTCTGTACGGTGGTCTCATATCGATGAAGCTATAGCTTTTGCATTGATTTCTTCAAGCTTCAAAGTCTGGTTTTCGGACGGATGAATCTCTTGTAATTGTACTGAAGAATTTCTTGTTGACTTGTATTTTGTCCTATTGCAGGAAGTCGCAAAGACAGCTGAGCATTCTGCGCAGAAGTCTATATACCTGTGGAACATAAATTGGGACGTGGTAAAACTCCTTGTGCTTGACGATATGTATCACGCCGCTGGAAACCTGCAGCAACGCCTTTCACATGAACTAGAACAGGAACAGGAGGTATGACTTTTCTACCTGAAGTGGGGAGAACAGTTCATAATTGTGCCTCGCGTCCTCCAATTGTGCATAGGCTGTTAAGGAATTTTATTAGATCAATTTAGACCAACGTGCTTGGTTGCTGAATAATTCTGTAGTCATCATTCAAGTCTACGTTTGTATTAGACTTGAATGATCAGGTTTCGATTATTCTTGACGCAAAAGTATCTTAGAGGATTGGTCCGACCCAACTTCTAACTGAGTCGTGGGGAGGGTGTGAAGGTGGAATGATCTTGACACCTGTTTGCATTTTTCTGTTGCAGGTTCTGGAATTGTTGAAACAAATACAAGCTGCAAAAGCAGCCGGTGCCGAGACTCATGTCACACTAACTCAACGCCAGCATGAACAAGTAAAGAGGATAAGGCGAGTAGCCTCGATTTTAGAGGCTTCTCTCTTGAAGCTTGATAATGCCATCCTCTTATTCTATGATTTCTAGTAACTGCCCAGGTGTAAATGGTTAGTTAGCGGTTTATCGCTGCGCCGAATTACCTAGTTCAAATCGAGAGTAGGGGATTCAGAAGATGTTCAATAAAGAAGTCAGCACTATATTTGATCCAAATTCAACCTAGAACCCATTTTGATTCTATACAAAACTGTTGATTGAGCTATTAATTTTCTGGAAATTCAAATGAACGTCGGAGAATGTGCAGGTTTTATAAAAGCAACAGAATTGAGTCACACTGTGCTGATAGCAATCAAGAAGTTGAGCCACCAGCATGTAAAGAGCAGTGTTGGTGCGAGTTAAAGTATATTTGTTTTTCCCTAGCTCGTTTGATTGTACCAGGCCTCCTGAATCAGGATAATATCCATGTCCGAGGAAATCTGGACTTCTGGTTTGTTTCTAAAGAATGATTGCATCAAAGGGAGGGTACGGGTCTCAACCAGATGCCATATCAACCATAAAGAGCATTTTGCCCGTGGGTTATGATGTTTTGAGATTACTCTACTTCATAACAGTAGTCTAAATTGGTAATCAGTCCGATTGGGGACACGAGTAACTTCGAGTGGGTGGATCTTCAGCTAATCGATCAGCTCACCGAGCGTTATTACTCTGTAGAAAGTCCGCAGTGGATATCTTGAATGTGCCTTGTTTTAAATCAGTGCAAACTTTGCGGGCTATAATGGCAAGGTACACACCAAAATCATCATTGGCGTCCAACCTCAAAGGGCTATGCAGTTAACATGAAGTTCGGCATGTACAAACTTTATTGCTTTCAGGGAAAGCTACAGGTACATGTCACTTTCTCAGTCATCACCCTATGCACTTTCGAAGGCCCATTACACGACAGAACCACAGAACCCTTCCTGGTTCCAGTGGAATTGGACTTCACTGCGCGCATTTATGGATCTCGTATCCGGATACAACTCTAAGATCGAGTTGGTGCCAGAAACTGGAAAGTTTCGAATTACGTCTTTATATCAGGTCTGCCAAGATTACACAGTAAATGGTCAGAGCACAGTAAGTAACTTTGAGCTCTAGCAGATTACAGGCACACACAAAGTCCAAAACAGACCGCCCTTGCGAACAGGGATGTCTGACTGCCTACTGGAGTTCGATCATGTTTGCAGGTTAGTGTGGGTTCCCCATCACCCAATTGCAGAAATGGTCACCTGTTACGACCTGTTCACTCCTTACAGCCCACTGTATTGTTAGCAATGCAGGAGACAGGGCTCGAGGTACTTGCAGTTCCCTATGGCAAAGATAACGAACCATATGCTTTAATAGGTAGACAGTTCTTCAAAAGGCAATCTTATGTCATCACGGACTCAGCAGCATGATCGCAGCTCTCAGTTCCCTCCCAGCTTCTCGATCTGAATCTACCCGCCATAGACGCCAATGCTCCTAAAAAGAAGAGAGAACGTCATAGGTTACATTATCAGTCCTCTCTCCTTGAGCTGCTGATGAGGGAGGCTGAATTTCATATGTGCTGATACTCTATCGAGCTGGAAACAAACTCTTAGTATCTCGAGGGGAGAGGAGGCTATCGTACTCACATCCAAGTCTGCCAGAATAGCTGTTTCCTCGATACTGTGCATTCCATCGAGAGCGGATGCTGGTCTCGGAAAGAGTGCAGCAATGACAAGCTGGCACATGATCTGCCCCACCTGTTCCTTCGAGGGAATAACTTGCTAGAGATGTCTGTTGCTAGCTGGGGCATCACATGCATATGGCACAGCGTAGGCAGGCCTTGCTGAGGGTGTTGCCTCTGATCTCTTCACTGTAGCCTCGTTCCCTCGCTTCAATCCCAGGCCTCGTAATCTAACATCATTTACTGGCTTCTATCTTCTTCTACTTTTACCACTGAGTGCTTGCCTTGAGGGGAAGGAAGGTGGGTGGGTCCCATGGAACTGGCTTCATGGTAGTACGTCCCTCTTCCAATTCCATATCAAAACCATTCTTCCAGTTCCACCACTTCCTCTACTTCCAGTTGCAATTCTAATCGCCACAGGCAAAGGTCTGTCTGAGGCTCTGTATGCCGCCAGTTGTACCAGTCACTTGAGTCACCACATCCTCGTCCACCATATGGGCTTACAACATCAGTCATTCCTTCCCTCCCTCTCTCTGCAGCTGAACTTCACTGGAGAAGTCTGGTAAGTGGTGTGCTCCCTGCTGCGCTCTCGCTTCATGCTGACATCCTTCAGAACATCTCTGAGACGTACTCAGTGCGGTGCTCGTCTGATCCAATTGTCTCCTTTTCCTCGATCACTAGTACATTTCCTTGTCAGGCTCACTAGTTCCTTCCTCATGCAAGCGGTCCATCGTTTGCTTTGAACGTTGTTCATTTTCCGTCTGTTATGAGGATGAAGTCTTCTAGCCTCAGTTCTGGAACCATCTCTATCCATCTCGTCACTTATCTTGCAGCTTCGGTTGTACTCGGAGAGTGTCTTCGATGGGCGAAACTTGATCGGACTCATGTTTGCATGAGGGCATGTCAGCTCCTGCAGGAGTTGTGCGAGGATTTGTAACTGGATGGATGGATGGATGAAATTTATTTCGAGTCTCGGAATTCGCTGATTCACAATTTATTGCAGTCCCTTAAGGAGGTCACGAGTCGGAAGAGAGCAGCATTCAACACCAGCTCTTTCTTCCAGGCTCTGAAGTCATTGTTGACCTCCAACTGCCACTGACTCCATACATACACTGAACTGGCAACACTGAACATCCAGTGCTTGAGCAACATTCGGACATAGATGAAGATGTCTCCATGACTCGATACCTTGTCCTCATCTAGCGCCCAAGAGCTCAAATTTCAAAGCATGCGTTGACAGTTCGATCACGACATCACAATTCAGCAATGAAACACATATTGCCCCAAGCAATCGGCAACTGGTGTGGTTACTGATTGACGTGGACATGCAAGCTACATAAAAGATGAATCAAAGGAAGTCGTAGGATTTTAAACCTTTCCTGTATTCTATACGAATAACTTCAAATTTAATAATTATCACATATCTTGGACAGTAGATTAAAACTTCTTTGGAGAGTTTGAGTACTTATGTGCCATCATATCTTGCAATGATGAGGTCAGCAGTACCTGAGAGAAAAGCAACCGCATAAATCGAATACCCTGTCCGTAGGATTTTAACACCGTCAAGAAGGATATCACTAAATTGACGTGGCCAGAAAGTGGCCCTAAATTCGGCTAGAGAAAACAAAATGTGCATAGCTCCTAATATGGTGACTTTCGGATTCATATCGTGCAGAGAGAGATTGATCATCTCTCACTGTAATGTGCATCGAGACTTCTCCTCCTTTGAAACATATGCCTTGTTAAATGAGACTGGAGAGCCTTCATTCTTGTCATATCAGATATAAACTAGAATATACAGCACCGACACGAAATTCAGTTACAGAACGTGCCATTAAAACAAATTATTTCTAATTACAGCTCTTGTGCCCATTCGAAGATTGCGGTTTTCAAAAGTGTTAAATCCAAATGCACCGACTACTTTATAAACCGAGGTACACACAATTTTTTAAAAAAAATTAATGAATTTATCAAAAAAAATTATCACATTACAATATTCCAAACATTCTGTTAATTATAAAATTTCATAAATTAAGCTTCAAAAATTATTTCATGATATGAGAAAACTACTCGAAATCATTATAGTGTCAAGTCATTCAATTGATTCAATATTTTATCTCTCTATAAATTATGTAATTAATTATTCTTTATATCATTTGAAAAAGATGTTGAAACTCCTCATAAAAATTCATAATTAACCAAAACTGATATTTTGATCTTTGAGAAGGCTTAATCGAAAATTTTTAGTACAATGTCATTTTAAAACAAAAAATAATTCTTCATCTTAAACCAAAGAGATGCTCAAAGAACTAAAAATATTAAATATTAAAATGTGATGAGAATAATTGATTTAAAGAATTTCTAGTTTGTGAGTTATTCAGAATAACTTTTTCTCCAAGATATCTAACAATACATATCCTGAAGTATGCTTCAAGAACATATTGATGATTGATAAACTTGAAAGGTTGATTTTTATGACACATTGTACTCAAATTAGAATACATTGTTATATACAAAATTCAGCAGGATCAATTGAAATTAAATATTTCGTTTCTCCTCAGGTTCAGTGGGGTTGAAGGGACTCATTACTGTATCAATTATGCCGCTCAAGAAACTGTAGAAAATGCCATTCATCTCGCATTAAGGTTTGTTGGAATCAGAATAGAGGGATTAGGTTATGGAAAATTTCAAGCATTAGGAATTCATTTTTTATTGGAAAAATTACAATTAGAGTGATTCCTAAATCTTGTTCAGAAGATGAACATACTAGATATGGATCGTAAGTAGATTAGAGGTTGTCATTTCTTGATTATGGTGTTGTTTTTACACCATATGATGTCAAATGTATTTTGATGGCAAATTGAGCAAGCAGCATTTTAGATACTTTTTGCAATCTTCTATCTTTTTTTATACAAACCATCATTAGTATTTTATGAAAAAGTTTCAACATGTTAAACTTATACAGTTATGAATTGTGAAATTTGGAGTCTTGTAATGCACTTAACCGTGAGATTCGATTATCATATGACTAAATTTAAAGATTATTCATGTCATTATCATCTCAAACTTTATATATGATAATATTGAGTCTAAAAAAAAATTTGTGAGAACATAATCAAGAAAAAATATTTTTACATATTTGATTTTGATAAGTATTTCAAATCCCGAAGAACAAGAATGAATTTTACAAGTCATTCAGCAATATCTTTCAGAAATTAATACTTTCTTCATGTATGAAACTATGTAAATATTTGTAATGTGCCAAGATTATGAGTTGTAAAATTCAAAAATATGATGACACATGCTTAGCAGATCTTTGATCAATTATGAAGAGAAGCAGATTGATAATCAATTGTCTATTTCAAAGAGATTTATAAATAATATGAAAAACTTTATTGATGGGAAGGATTGTATATATAATCTCCAAATGTACGAATAAGTGACAGATTTTTTGTTCATATATCATTCCATGTCCAAACATCATACATCAATTAACAATTATGTGACTCAAGTATCTTGTAGTTTGTATGTTACACATACTTAGTTATTGCATTTACAGATTTATTAGCATGTATAAATATCTCACATGTGAACTCTGTTCATGAAAATATCTCATGGAAAGATTTTTAGAGAATATTGCAAACAATCAAAATTAGAGAAGCTATATATTTTAGTTGAGATGATTGACGTACACGTAATAATTATGTATCTACATAATACTCAATATTGGAAATGTATTTATTTATCTTGGGGCATGGACGGCGAGTCAAGTAACATTAGCCAATATGCCAAATACATAGTTATACAAGAAAGTCACATCTTTGTTACTATAACATTTGGATTAAATACATCTATAGAAATGTTGTTCATAATGTTAAATCAACACATTCTTAGCAAAATACTCGGGAAGCCATCATATTACGTGGCATGTGATATCACAATCTTGTACAGTTTTTATTTATAAAAAAAAACATATCTATGTTGCTCTAGAGAGCCCTAGCTAGTATTATATACCAGGATATGTTAAATAATGAGATGTGGCCCATGCTTCACATTAAGAAACAACTTAGTGATGCAGAGCTTATTTTACTCTGCAATAATATGAGGGCCTACCATGTTGTAATATAAAGAATATACCAATCATATGAAGTAAAATCATCCATGTAGTAATTAAACATATCCTTGTACCAACAAATATTAATATGGGTACAGATTATATTCGTACTCGTTTATGCATCGATTGACGACGTGATATGTGCATCAACGGCTGAACCTTGACATGCAAAATTATCATCCCTCGTCCAGACCTGAACGAAACGGGACGACATGCTCGAAAAGCTTCCTGCCACTTGCCGTGGAAGAACGAAGATGAGAATGAGAATGGAAGCACGCAATTATGACGACGGATGTACGCGAGCTCGTCACGTATCTTTCTGGGAATTTGCGTGGGCATTGAACGAGAAGCCACGCCCCCGCGCTGCCCGCCGGTCCCTTGTAAGTGACGTCGTGCTTGTCGGCTGAGTCTCATTCCGATCGCAATTTCGTGAGTCATAAACCCCAAACATCCGTCGTCGTGTCAGTGTCCAGGAATGTGCTGGTCAGATTCATGCTTGTGGAGAATGGCCGCAGGGGAAAGACACATGATCGGGGATTTCTCGAGATCTGGCGACAGGAGGAGGTGCCGTCACCTTCGCCGCTCAGGCAAGGGTCATCGAATCCCTGAAGGAGGTTATTTACTCAATCTCAGGTCTGGAACGTGAAAGGTTCGCGAGAGCAAGCAGACAGTCAAGATTACGAGAATAAAAGAGCTCGATCAATAAATCGAGCCTCACAACACGCTCATTCCCAGATGAACGATCTTTTCGATCCTTTCGAGATTTATCGATCTAGCGTATAATCTCTTTGATCCAGTCTTAACGAATACTTGTTATTGGCTGATCAGAAGGCAAGACTTGCCGGGCCTTCGTGCCTCATGTCCGACAGCTGATTGCCGTTTGCACGGACTTAGTGAACGAGCTGAACATTGCTGACTATGCCCAGCGTCCTACGGGCATTAATTTGTAAGGTTGGCTGATGGTGCGTTGAAGCCGAACCAAGATTCTAGGACGGGAAAGGTATGCATAGGAGAGAATGGTACAACTGGAGATGGCGGGTCTTCCGCCAATACAGTGGAGAGAAATTTTGAACCCCATCAAGTTGGG